CTAATTTTGGTCTTTGAGGTCAATTCCCTGAAGGACTGTCCACTCGCTATTGCAACTAACATCAGCGGACACTGAACATGGAAAGCGCTCGGTGCCTTACATATAGAGAAACAGGTCCAGATGTCTCAGAGACTGTTTCCAAAAGTAAGGGATACGTTTTGCTTTTGTTTCTCAGTGTCTATGTTCCTCAACTATAAAATGGAGATTATATCAATCCATCTCACAGAAACAACTTAATATTGTGAAGCACTAAGATTAGTAGAAAAGATTCCACTAGAAAATGAATAAACCTGTTTTCAGAACTGATTTGTATAGTATTTAGTAAGCAAAGTGAAGCCCTAATTATACTTGTGTGAAGGAACCCACATATTAAGGAGCTATGTCCACTGAATATGTCCACTATACTGAAGAAGATGGGGATTCTGTAGAAAAAAGATGATGTTAGTATGTAGCTTAAAAAAGGTAGGCTCAAGTGGCTCAAACTTTTAAGGCGGCAGAGGCACAACTTTTCCCAAGTATTGCCTTGGAAACATTTATTTTAATATTTAAGCAGTTTTCACTTGATAATAATTTTAATTTTAGTTACTATTAAATATAATATTTTCTATATGTAAATATTCAATACATGACAGTTCAAACTTCATACACTTGCAGAGAAGAAAATCTATGTATGTGTATATCTTGGGCTCGCAGTGGAAGAAATTTACATGTTTTTAAGTAAATCCTTATTTTTCTAAACTTCATTCTAAATTACAAGCTACAGTTTAGATTCCTGGCTCAAAGATGTTGGTGGAAAGCAAAATGTTTGCTTTTTCAATGTTCGAGGCTGCAATAACAGAAGGTTACTTCCAAAAAAGAATTCTACCCTCTTTCTCCTATAATACAGATTTGTGTTTCTTGTGCCAATTTACTAAATACTAATACTAGCACAAGCTTTTCTCTGAAAAATTGTCTCAGCTGCTTTCACTTGACCATCAACTGTTCTGTGTTCCACATGTTAATTTTTTACCAAATTCTAACTTTGGCTCGCACCTACAAATGTATTTTTTTTTCTGAAGTGTATTTCCATTCCTTGGGATTCCCAGCTCCTTGAGTGCCTAGTGCTTTATCTTATTGTTGGTGTCAACTTCTGGAGCTTGTAGTTTCAAAGAGGAATTTGTTTAAAAAAAAAAATTACAGCAATTGCTACAGCCCTGACACTGGGAGCACAGGAAAGAGCACAGGAATGGCATTTTTGCTCAGTCATTCAAAGGAATAGAAAGAGTCATCCCATCATACTGACAATAACCTGTGTTGTCCACAGATGTGATAAAGAAAATGTGAGCAGATGGGACACATCTGTTAAATATAGACATTCCTTCATTAGTGTCATCAGATTTATTTTTAAGGTATGTTTATGTTTAGAACATAAGCTAACGAGGACATGAATTCATAAACATACAATCTAGCCAATGACCTTGTTAATTGGACACTAGTTACAACAACAAAACCAAACTTCTATGATGCTGCGTTGTATTCTTGAGTCCTTTTGTTTGACTTTAACTTGAAATTATATCACTGAAAATACCCACAATTTGTTGTGAAATTATCTGACAAGCCTGCAATCATGGCTCATGCACTAGGGTGAGTGGCTGCCTAGCAGGATCAGGAAAAATGTTTTTCTTGCAAAGTACTGCACTATGGAATAGGTAAACAGCTTTCTGTCTTCCCTTTCCCGAAAGAGTAAATACTGATCACAGCATCATGAAACAAATTTCACGGCTCAGTGGTCTAATTTGGGCAGCTAACCTGTGAATTGTGGTTCCCCCATCACCCTTTCAATTGCAGAAACTTCCATAATACTCCATAAATTAACAGACTTCATATTCCATACAGAATAAGAGTGGGATAGGCTTGAAAAGAAAAAAAAAAAAAAAAAAAGGAGGGAAATAAAATGTGATCTATGGATTTCACATAGGACTGCTTCAAGGCCTGGGCATTACTAAACTAAGAATATCTATGCTGTTTGCAACAACTACTCAGCAAAGACAAGGAGACTAAAATAACCAACTAAGTCACAATTATTCATTTGTTTTAAGGAACATATATCCCTCACAGTCCAACAGACTGTAAAAAGTATTTGTTCACCAGAGAAATGTGTACTACTATACTTGAACTCTTCTGCTGCATACAAGCTGAGGGGTGCTATATAAAAGAGAGAGAAGTACAGGAGTAAAATCCTGCCACCACTGGAAACAGTCAGAAACATCACTGAATTCAGTGGGTTTGTGACTTCACCCTGGCAATTCACCTGTACTTCAGACTAACAATGTGAATCCGAAAAAAAATGACAGGTAGTGGAAATCATTTGGGAGCAAATTATCTCACGATATTTTGGAATTGCCAAATCCAAACAGATTAGGCCTCCTGATATGACTTAGGTGGCAGAAATGCGGAGAAGCCCCTGATAAAAACACACTACTGTGTTTATTTATTTATTTACTATGGGTTGCCCTTAAGGTTTTATAAATTTAAGGAAACAAACCATCAAAAGGATGGTAGAAAGGGCTTAATACTACCGGTGGACAAACTAGGCATATCAGAGAGATTGCACGACCTGCTTGTAGCGCCACTAAAACCTGAATCCCTATTACCCGAGTGCTAGTGTAGATGTCTCCAGAGGATGGTGCTCATTTTATTCTGGCTCTAGCGTACAAAAGAATGTCTTTTATTAAGATGTTTTGTAGTTGAATATCAGTTCTACTGTTACCAGGAATGAAAGGATCTTTCATGTCTGTTTAACCAGTCATATGACATAGAAGATACCATGTTTTCTGATGGCTATTACAGATAGCTGCATTGTACTCATGGTTCTGTGGCAGTGTCATGAGATGTTATAAGTAGGCGTATACAAAATTCCTCAATATCACACCACGAAACCAGATGGTCTCAGTTAATTGATGGAGAACTGCAAGGTCTGGGGATCTGTTATACAATAGTGACCTAGTACACTAAAATACAGCTAATGCTGTTGGAAACGGTATCTCATAGCCTTGATTTGCAGCATCCCACACGTGGAGCTGTCTGATCAGTCTTACTGTAAGTTGCAGCAGACATCTGTGGAAACTGGCAAACAAGTACAAAAATGAATCCAAGCTATCCAGGAGATCCTGTCAACTTTTAAAATATTCTTACACAAAGGCACACCTGGAATTTGCACAACCTTGGACTGATTACCAGAGGGACCTGTAGTTATATGGGCAGGATAAATAAACAGTGGCCCTGCAGGAAGATGAAATTCCTCAACAAGTCAACCTGTCACTACTTTCTTATTCTTCATATAGAGTAAAAAAAAAATCTCATAATCATGTACAAACAAGGAATCACTTAACTAAGCTCAGCAAAGATATTCTGGAATAGCTACTACTGTTAAGAAGAATGATTTTATATTACATAAAATCTAGAAGGACATTTAATTTCTGAGATAAAGAAATTGCATTCTAGCCTTGCAAAGAATTTATGTGTGTCCTAAATTCCGTGCAAAAAAGTTAAAGCTGAAATTATACTGTCCTGAAATCTATGGAAAAACTGAATGGAATCAGGATTTCCCTATATTGAATTCTACCTTCAATTTTACAAAAGTTCAAAGGTTCTAGAAAGGTTATCATTGATGAAATAACAACCCATTATTTTCCCATACATGCTAAACTCTTTTCATGACTGGAAAAATCATTCTTTCAAAAAATCTCAGTGGCTTAGGAAAGATAGGAGTCTAATTCTACCAATTCAACACTGTAATACTGGCTTTAAAGGGCTGGAGAGTTAGAGAAATATCAGCCTTATATCAGCACAGAGGTTGAAAATACCCATGCAAACCCAAATAAAAACAAAGGAGATTTCCATTGCCTTCCACTGTATTTGATCAGGCTCTTTCTTTCTTTCTTTTTCAGGATAGGTATAACAGTTCATCATTCATATACAGATAAATATGGGTCTTTGCTTTTCACGTGGTTTTACTTACTTGTTTGTATGCTAGTTTTCTTATAACGACTCAGCTCTTTAACATGTCACACAAAAATGAATCATTTCCGAAATGCTTGATGAAATTTTGCACCAAGTGCAATGTGAAAGGAAAACTATAGTAAAAGCCTGAAATTTTTTAAACAACAAAAATAGAGAATTTAATCTCTCAGTCCCACCTGTTACCATTGCTTTAATTTCTCCTATCCCTCCTTCTCTGCATACTGCAGTTTCATCTGACTGATCTCCTTAGGCATTGTTTTTAGCATCCTTACTTCCTTCTCACAGACAATGTCCCAGTTCTAGCATGTTGTTTTTCACGTATGGAAAGCATAGGCATCTGGAAGTTGGTATATCTCTAATGCTACATCCAAATACAGACTATTGTTTTCTTTAGAGAACAGATAACTCTGAAATGATGGCAGCAAGACAGCAGTTAAACTTGTACCCCATTACTAAAAGAGATCAAGAAAGATGCATGTTTTTGCTACAAGGTTACACATATGGATAAGGGGAGACTGTCTTTACTGAAAGAAAAGGAATTGGAGACAGTTTTTAAATCAAGATCTGACACCTATCTAGAAGCTACATTACTCAGTAACTAAAAAATTATGGACTCAATGAATATTGGTAAGATTCTTTGGCTCTATAATACGGAAGGTCAGATTTGACTGTCATACTGGTCTTCTCCAGACTTAAAAAGTAAGAATGCAGTTTTAGCTGAAAATACTAAATATAGAGGTAAGCCAAAAAAATCATTGTGCATAATGTTGCAGTTAGCCAGCATAGACATTAGGAGAAGTCATGTGCTCTTCCTTGGGGATTTAGCCTTTACTCATGATCGCCACATGTAACAAAAACAGTACCTTTATTTTTAGTAGATTTAATAATTTTGAAACAAGGGAGCAAAATCTTCTAGTACAATTTTCTAGAACAGAACACCTACTATGCAGCAGTTCAAAGGCGCTATAAAATCTAATATTGATGAACAGACAGCCCTATCATTTTTCATGTTTTATATTCCTTTCAGAGTGATGAACTCCCCTCCCCCCAAATCTCAGTGCATTAGAAAAGAAGGAAATTACCTGTAACCAGAGTCTGTCACCTGACTCTGTTCCACCGTTGGCAGTGCATTGAAAAGTAGCAAATTGTCCTGCATTGACTTCCACGCTCTGAAGACGCAAGAAATGGGGAGTTTTTGCTGTTGGAAGAAGACAAAGTATTGAAGTTATGCAACATGGAAGTACTGGCTATGAATAATACACTGAGCAAAATAAATAGCCCTGCTTTAACAGGTTCAAATCACTGACTTCACATTAGATTTTAGGTTGGTTTACGTCCGTATCTGGGAAAGAGCAGAAGTGAAGGGTGCTATTTAATTGTTCCTACTGTGTAAATTATCTTAGCTCAGCATCCCTCTTGCAGTAACACTCTATTAATAAAGATCATATTGGAAACTAATTATGTTTTGAACAAAAACCTATTAGATACTTACACTACCAACTAGACAAAACAGTAAGAAGTTGAGTGATGTTGTCAGGGAAACAGGTTTTTCTTTTTAACCAGATACAGCATCTATAGAGGAGATGCTTTAGAAATGTAGCACACCAAACAGCTAAAATACTAACATAACACTTCTCACCAAATACAGCTGTATTCTTTAAATACAATTCTTTTCAACAACACTTCAGAAAAAAACAAAACACAATGCATTCTCCATACTAATACTTATTTTTCATTTAGAAAGAGAAAACACTCCCAGTAAAAATTAAAGCAATACAGCTGCAAATAACCTAACTAATGAAATAGATATTCAAACAAGAACTATGTCCACTGACAGAGGAAAGATAGCATGAGTATTTTTGTTTACTGGAAAGAGTCAACCATGTGACACAGAAAAACAGAAATTTGATACAGAAACCTATCCTTGAAGAGGCAGTATTCCCCAACCATTCAAATCCTACTGCAGGCAAGGGGACTTTTTGCACTGTCTATACTGGCAGATAAGCCAGGCTCTGAGCATTGCTTTCAGACATGGAAATGTTAGCACTAGCAATAAACTTGCAAAACAAACATACGCATTCTAGCAGAGCATCACAACCGTTTAAAGTGTTGATGACATCTTCTTAAAAGACCTTATCACTGGGAGAAATTGCAGTTTTAAGGAATTTATAAATAATCAGCTACCAGAATTCAAGAAAAAGTTGTCTAATATCCAGTGCAAGGCAGTATAAAAAGGAGGAGATGTAATAAAATAGCCCAAATTAATATCTAACTATGGAATGAAATCTTTTCATGATAACTGTCGTTACGGCAAATTTATTAGACATACTGGTTTTTTTTCTTAAACACTTCTCAATTAGGACAGACAGAATTTAGGCCAAAGCCATCCTCTTCTTTGCCTACCAAACTATTAATGCAGTAAAATTCTTTAGTAAGTTCCCCATTTCTCAGTCACTTTTTTTTTTAACATCTGCTTTTACCCCACTTGTTTTTTTTCTCAGTCTTCCTAAACTCTGGAAAACTAGCCTTTCTGAATTACCAGTTATGGCCTAAGTGGAGAGGGGTGTTAGGTTTTAAAAACAAAAACACACACACACAAGAAAAACCCCAACCACCCACCCACCACGAGCCATCCCTTTCAGTTCTTACAACTTGCTTTCAACTTGCTTACAACGTGCTTACAACTTGCTTTCTGCTTGGTCTTTGTTCGTACTACCCAGACAACTGCCTAGCAAGTATTTTTCGCATTTCGATTTTTGTTTAAAGAGTTAATCATTCCAAAAGTATTTTTTCTGGCAATAAACAGAAAGAATAGCATTATGAGTCTTGAAAAGTTTCAGACACACGGTAGTTCTATGCCAATTTTCACACTTTTTCAATTTTCTTGTACACAATGTAACTGGTTTGATGTCTTAATTTCTAACATTTTAATTACTTCATCAAAGAACTTTTCATTAAAGCTTTTGCATTTCAACACTGTCACGTTAGAACTCTACGCGCTATGGGGTATAACTTAGTCTCCACGTTAACAACAGCTACTTGCAGGTTTTGAGAATTGATTGGTACAAATGCACAGATCAAACCTCTCAAAATCTGTGTAAGAAAAATTATTAAGCTGATAAAATGCTGCTTTAGACTTACCCTACCTGAACCAAAGATATAAATTCAAAATGCAGAAGCACAAATACTGCCTAACAACATGAGAGCCTGCTGTGTTTATTACAACTAAGTGATTCAGAAATAACAGCTGCTGATTCTGCATAACTGTCTCTGTATTTGAAGAAATGTCTGTGTCTTCTTGCCACTAACACTAAAACCATTTTTGTGAGGTGCTCTGGTACTAACCGATAAACCACTTTTTATTTTAAATCACAGCTCTCACTTACGAGCCACAAAGAATCATACAAGTACAATATGGTGAGGAAGGTGAACAATTATACAGAAGTTGGTGTCTTTTTCCCCACTCAGTCATTTGGTCAATAAGATTACAACCTACAATTCCATATATAATCTTAATACACCTTATTTAACAAATAGCAAATATGTGAAATAAAAGTTTATTTAAGTAGTCTGTTCAATTACATCTGGATTACTATATTAAAGCTTTAATGTGCAAGGTTTTGTTTTGACAACAATTTAAAAATTAAAATAATTTATTATGTATCCTTAATAACGGGATAAGGAAACATCTGAAACATAAGCAAGTATAACAGTGCAGAAATTGAGCCATGAACCCAAAGGGGAAGTATCCTAAGTAACCTTGCTTAGCAAAGCCTCAGCCAGCTGAGTTTTCTTCCTTCTAAACCTTGGAAAAAATAATCATATATCTTCAGCTCTTGCGTTGTTCATCAGCTCTCGCGTTGTTCATCAGCTCTCAATCAGCTCTCAATGCCTCAGCTTGTGGCTGCACTGAATTTTTGATGGCGATAGAAAACTGGTCAACAAATCTTGAATGACTTTTGTTCTGAAGGAGTCATTAGAGGGCCCAGTTAGGATCCGCCAAGCTAGGCTTACGCCAACTGCTGTACACAAGGTGCATGTAAGAGACGTCTTTAAAGCCAATAAGGTGCTAGTGCTCAAATGCTAGCAACACTTCGTACATACTCAGCCTATATTTATAGCAGTGACATTGTTTTCTGAAATTTTCCATATCTTTTGCTCCACATTTATTGAAGCATAGTGGCACATTCATTTTAGAGGGCTGGCTTTAAAACAGTGGATAGGTACTTACTACATGGATGTCCTAAAACTTTCACTTCATCGATAGCCACATATCCTGGGTGACCTGAAGTGACCACTTCAAAAACAACCTGAGAAGCAGAAGGAGAATTTCAGTTAGCAGCTTTGTAACACAAGGAATATAAAAATACTGTGTTATGGAAAGATACATCAACTCTTTTAACATGTTGAGAACACCTTGAAAACAAAATACAGTAAAAAAAACCTCAAAATGTGTTGTTCTTATCATTAAAATGAACGAGAACATAAATCACATTTTTTCACGTTTATTGTATTTTTTGAGATTTACAAATGTGATCATTTACAGCTCACAATGAGAAATAACCAAATCCCCCAATATTTGGTCTGCCAAAGTAGTCACCTAATAATAATTTTATTTTCAATTCTTTGTCTTGCTGAATAAACTCCTACTTTTATTTAAAAAATGACAATTCTGCAGTATACAGAGATTTGCACAGTATCAGACACAAACATACCTATTTTTATGAGTGTATTTTCCATGCTCTTAATCTTCCACCAAATGTAGTGCATTAAGTAAAGCAGATCCATTTGCCACGGTTTGTTTAATGGCTATAAATAGGTCACAAAATAAATGGACCGTTCTTGTCATTTGAATTAAGTACACTCAAAAGTAAACCTCTCCAAACTTTGGCAGCCTTAGCTTTGAACATCCCAAGAATGTTTATGTGGAATAGAAGAAAATATGCTAGTAAGATTAGCAGGTACATTTCCAAACCAATGCTCAAGAAGTTCATGCTCAAATCCAGGTTGTGATTTTTTTTTATTTATTGCTTCCCTTTTGCTTGGAAAGTTAACTCTAATTGCCTCTTGTAACTCGTCTCAGAAGTACACTGAGGAAGACAAAGTTTAGAAACTATTTTTCACACATATGCTGTACTTGACCTTGGAACAGATGCAGAAGGACACTACATACCACATCCTTTACTGCAATTTTTTCAGCAGAAAGAGAATGATACAGAATGCAAACATGTCACAAGGATAACATACAGCCCCATAATACTATATCACAGTTTCTTGGTGCTGAATAAACACTGGCGGAGCACTGATTCTGATTTTAAAACAAACCTTTAGGTGAGCAAATTCTTCACCATTTCTTGCCTCTGCCTTCTCCCATCTTTCTCATTGCTCCATCTGTGGACACTGATCCTTCTGTCCCAGATACCATCCTCCTAAACTCTGTCCATTTCTCTCTTTCAAACTCACTGGAGTAAAATTGCTGTAAATATAGTTTTAACTTCATACAGCTGACAAGGAAAAAACCTACTTTTCATTCTAGTTCTGTCTCCTGTTCACACAAAAATTTCAACCTACAGTGCCAGTGTTGCCCCCAGGTGAACCAGGCAGCAACAAGGAAACACAAGACAGAAATGAGAAAAGTCCAAAAGCCACCAAACAAATTTTTCAGAAATAAATTCTGCAAGAAAAGAATTGCTCAGTCACAAGCCCCAGCCCATGGCCTTCTAAATGCCCAATGGCATCTGATGGTGCTTAAAGTTAATATTGCTGACCCACAGCAACAGAGTGGACAGGGTATGGATTTGGCTCCCAGCATTCAGTAGAGCATCCAGAGCAAGACCATTCAAAATTTGAAAGCATCTCTTTCCTACAAAGAAGAAAATCTCCTGGTGAAACCGGTCTTAGGAACTATCTTGGGAAGCAGAAGTTCTTAAAGAAGGAAAAAGCAGAAGCTCTAAAAGAATAACTTGCATTCAAGGACCTGAAAGAGCTTTTCCAACCATGATCATTCTTACCCTCATCTTCGCAGCGTTGAAATGGAAATACAGTGAGATAGGTGACATGCACAAAGTAACCCTAACTTTTGACTCCAGTGCAAGACCCAGAATGCAGCTCCTGTTTTCATTCACTGAACTTTGAAAACAGAACAATCATTTCACTCTATTAACAAATATGACAAACAGTTTTATGTTCTCTGTTTGTGTTAGGCTCTCTGAAAAAAAGGGTTATGCTGGTGCCCTTGGAAGAAGGAGGAAACTGCTCCATTTCCTGAAGAGCTACCAAGACTATTCGAAACAGAGAAGATCTGAAAGGCTGTAGGGCATCAGAACCATGCCACAGCCCCAGGAACCTGCAGTTAATGCAGGGATGTTACAATACGGCAGTGAAGAACAGGGAGCAAACAGCCAGGTCTCAGAAATAGTGGAAATGTTTCCTAGGGAAATATGCTGCCACTAAGAAAGTCATTAAGTTAACTGAATCTAAGTGTGGAGGCAAACACCTGCCTGTAAAAACAGAGCAGGCTGGGGACAATTATGGTTTTCTCTCCTGTATTCCCTAGCGGCTTTGAGTCTTCTCTGTTAAGAAGAAAAAAAAAAACCAGTTAACTTTCTAATTTTATTGAAATATAACTTTTTAAAAAAAAAAAAAAAATCCTCCCTCTCTTTTGGAGCATTCAGTGTAAGGAGAAGATCTGCACAAAGCCATCTGAAAGGTCTACCTGATCCATGCAGAGCATGAGGGAGGTTTTTTCAGGTTCTTCGCTTCTAGATATGCTAAATTTTAGAAAGCCCTGGGAGGAACTGGCGCATGCACACCTCTGAAGCAGCCAGCCAAACCAGTCAGAAGTTTTCTGCTAAAAATATTACTGCCAGATAATGGGGATTTAACTATTTAAAAAAAATGTTGCGTAAAAGTGCCTTTTCCAAAGAATTACCTGACTTCCAGCAAAACCAAATACCTGAGCTCTAGAAAAGAAAACATATGCAATACCTAAGTAGATCTCAAAATAATGTCTATAATTCATAACTGGGGAGCTTAGCTACAGGCTCTCCGAGAGGTTTTAAGTACTTCATTATTACAATATACTCGCAGACAAAAAAGGCTTGTAGATTCTAAACACAGAGCCGTTCCTTTAGTTCACAGGCAGAAACTACAGCTTGAAATAACTCAATTGGACCTGTTTATGACAACAAAGACTCAATGAGTGATCTAAAATATCCTGCCGTATCTCTAGACAACATACCAAAAATGTCATTACCACAAATAAGCCAGGCAATGTATCAAGAAACTGCCAGCTGGACATACTATTAAATTACAACTACTGCCATTAAAGAGAGCATATTCCAAAGAAAAGTAATACAAATTGAAATATTGACAGTTTAATCATGCTTTCATTAAAAGCAATAGCCAAGCTGATATCAACTTTAATGATCATAAGTTTTGGTCTCTTCTGACATAAAACATGCAATCTGTAGTATTGTATTGACACTACAGCCAGTAGTGATGTACCATCGTCAAAGAGATATCGTTGATGTGCCTTTGACTTCATATAAAAGAACATGACACGTATTCCAAGTACAGTAATATAATTCCGTTCTGTTCACAGGCTGTGAAATACTATCAACTGCTGCATCCAAATCTAGTATTTTGTTTTATTTAAATTAATAAATGAAGATTATGGACTAAAATATCTGCTTAACTAAGCATTTTCCCTTTCTACACTAAAAAAAAGAATTTGATTCTATGCATGACTCGTTTCTGAAAGTCCCAGTAAGTGTGCTGCACACTGTAAGAGGGCGCTCAGGAATGGACCTAGAAACACTCTGGTAGCTCATTTATTCATTAAAAAGCTTATATTAGGGATGTCAATACTATTCACAAATCTGGATCAGTTTTGCTAGTAATTTCACTAGAAATGAAACCTAGAAACTTATTTCACATCCAGTTTTTCCCATCATTTCACATTTGAAAAGTTGCTTGTCTTGTAAAAGTTAATGTTTTTACTCCCGCCTCCAAACTTTGTCCTTCCTCTCGGCTGACGCAACACCTGCAAGCAAGATAAAAGACCCCAGTCAAAATAGAGACAGCACTCCAGCAACGTCAGACTGGGCAGCCCTTGGATTTTTCACCTATTATTCCGCCACCTTATCAGTCCGGAAACAACCAGTTAAAACACTGAATTCATTTGCTTAGGAAAAACTCTGCTGAACGTTGCCCTGAAAGCTGTTTTACACCATTCTCCCCCTCGCAGGCCTGCCAAACAGGAACCAGGGAAGCAGTTTAGCACTGCACTGTCCCTGATCCTCCCTGCTTCAGTGAAGAGCAAAATTAGCTTTTCATTCCTGCCACTTCCCCTTTCTACATACGCACAAAGAAAGGGGGTCTGCTCACCAGCATAAATGCTTACTGCTGAAAATGTGCGACTCGAGATAACTTGTCTGTTCCAAAGAACAATAGAAACAAACAGGTTTTGTTGCCATACAACCTCACTCCGTAAATTCCTGCCTTTGTTGTTGCAAAATTACAACGCTTTTAGTCAAAAGGTGGATTCTACCTAATATAAACACACTCTACTTCACATGACTTAAAAATAGCACTTTGCAAAACCAAGAAAGAGTAAGGAGTATTAAGAGAGCTACTTAATGTCAGGCTGCAGTCCTGCTGCCCTGCACCCTCAGCAAGTGGGCAGCGATGTACCACACGCTGCCCGCAGCATGCACTGCGCTCTCCTCTCCGCCTGCCATGCTTTACCACACAGAGTGCCCTTCTTAGACTATATTTTTCAGGGCGTTGGGAACAGTCTCTCTCCAGAAAACTGGCAATGTCTTGTACCCCTGTGGGTTGAGCTCTTCTCGCCCTTCTCACTTGTCCTAGGACTACCCGCTTTATCACCAGGGCACAATCACAGCGGCTGCTGCCTCGTCAAAGCCACATGAAGGGAGGTTCCTGACCTGGTCCTTCCCAGGCCCCGCAGAAACCCCTCACAGCTTATTGACTTGGGCTGCCTAAAGTGTGGTTAGGCCTCCCTGGCTGGGAATTTGTTTTATGCCGTTTCCCTCCCCACCTCTCACTCCTACACAACCACCATTCAGCACTCACATGTGCACTCAAGCACATTAAACAACATTTTGGTGGTTGCTGCCAAACTGAGACTCCAAAGAAACCTCTTTCAGGTGAGCAACACTGAACTCCTGACATTAAGGCTTACTAAATCTTATTCTTCTATTTTTGTTTTTAAACCAGTTGTTGTCTTACCTTTCTCTACTGAAGGCCCAGAAGCTTTCTTGGTTTAGGAACAAGGGACAGGAGAAAA